ATTTAAGGAATTCAGGTGGATCTTTGTCTTTTCTCATTTCTTTTTGTTATAATTAATTCCTTGGTTCTTGCGTTTATACTTTGAATATTTCTATAAAGATCTTCAGCTTGTTCTTTATGTTTTTGTATATAATTTGATACTATTATTTCGTCATTTTCTTAAATCGAATGGGTCAGTGTTATTTATATGCCCTTTAATTATTTCAAAAGGTGTATGTTTGTTACGCCATGAATTGAATTATTATATCCTAATATAGATCGTTTTATTAATTGACTTGGGACTAAGATTTGGATGATCACTTTTAGACATCTATAATGTTCGATTAGAGATGAGTGAAATCTCTACAGGTGAGTTTGATGTACTATTTTTCGGTGTTGTATAGTGTATCTCAATTTTGGCAGAGTTTTACAAAATCTTCTACTTCCTTGTTTTTGAACTCGGTTCCATTAATCGGTTGTTATTTTCAAAGGTAAACCGTGATGGGTTATAAAAGTGTGGCAGATTTTCGATTATCGTAGGACCTGTTAAAAGCGTTTAAATGATATGCTTGTCCATATCTAGAAAAGCATCTATACTATGAAAAAAGCTCTCATTTGATATTTTAAATGTATCAATATGGATTTGTTCGAAAGGTTTCGATGTTGTAGGTGTTAAATTAAATTTTACGATGGGTGGACTTCGGGATCGCATTTATTTTTTCTGACAAGTCTCACAATTGTTTACGTAGTTTTCAATATCTTCGCTCATTTTTGGCCAGTAAAATTTTGATGTTAAAGCGTTTTTCATTTCATTGATACCGCGATGACAAGTTTTTTTTGTCGTGGTACATTTCAAGTTTTTTCTTTTTGCTCGTTTAATGTTTCGATATCGTTTAGAAATTTACTACACTGAATAAAATTAAATGCAGTATTTTTAAATAATTTTTGTAAAGTAATAATAAAATTTCTAGCTATTAATTGATCTTTAAAATACATAGCATAGGTTTGTTTGGGGTCAATAAATTCTTTTGAGAAATTTTACAAAGTTTCTGTTGATCGGCGTTGTGATATAGTTACATATATTCGAGTATTTTGAATATTTGTTCAAAGTCTACATTTTATATTATCGATCTCTCCGTAGGTGAATATTACTGATTTTTATAAGTGTTTAATGAACGTTCTGAAATAGGGAGACCTATTATTGGTTCTTCTAGAGAGGTATGACGTGTTTCTAGATCAGTTGATTCTTTTTCTTTATAGGGATTTGGTGGTCTTATTTGTATATCTGAGTGGATAATTATTTTTGTTTAGGTTTTATTCCTAATATTTCTTCTAATTCTTTTTCTTCTATATCAGGTAAACTTTCTCTATTTTTTATTAATTCTTCGATTACTTCGTCAATATCTCCTGGGTTATTATCGATTGATTCTGTCTCTAAGGCGTTTAACTCTTTGATTATTTATTGGTATTCTTGATAACGCATCGGCTGCTTGATTTTGTTTGCCTTTTTGTATTTGATATTGTAATTGAACTCTTCTTCTGGTCGAGTTATAATTTCTCCTTGAAAAATATTAACTGGACCTTTTTTTATTGGTTTTTCGTGAGGGTTTATAGAAAAAGAAAATTTTGGCTTCTTCCGGTTGGCGATATTTGAACGGTATTTCGACAAAATTGTTTATTAATCTTTTATTAGTTAAATCGATATTTAAGTTCATATTTATTAAGTCTTTTAAACCTATAACTCCATCGAAATAATCGTGGAAATCAAATAAAATAAATTTAATTTATGATTCTTCCAAATTCCGGGAATGAGAGGTCAGCTTGATATTTTGTTGATTTTTGACCAATAGCTGTTTTGATTATATTGGTTGTTTGATAGATACAGTTCGGGAAAAAGTTTTCTACAATAGATGGTTTTAAAATAGAGCGCGAGCTTCCGGTATCGATTAATAATTTTAACTTAGGATGTTTTATTTCTACATACGGAAGAGCGTTACTTGAACAGATGTTTATTTCTATCATGTTTTTCCTTCTTTCTGGCTGGGTTTCCGAAAATTTCCTCTTGTGCAGGATTTTTGTTCCTCAACAACTTTCTCGTATTCGGGTTCCTGTTGAAATTCTTCTTCCAAACTATGAACAGGGTATTCTTCAGAATATTGGTTTTCGTATTCGTCATAATTGTTATAATCGGTATAATTATAGTTTTGTTCATAGGGATGCGTATTTGTTGTGTCTTGGTACGCATAATTATTCATATCTTCGTTGTAATCATTAGTAAATAATTCTTGGAAGGTGAAATCTGGTGGTCCAGTTGCTTGGAAAGGTATTGGATACTGTCTATTCTGATATGATTGGATTTGACTATCCCTTTTCTTCGAAGCAAAAGATGGGTTTGCTGAAGTTGTAGACATAGGCTCTGGTTTTGATTGTTGGTGTGGTGGAATGGGCTTTGGCTTAAAGACATTTATAGGTGGTCCAAAGACTTCTCTATTTGTTGGATATCGTCTTGGAGGCATTTCTCTTGGAGTAATATTAATTGGTTGACAAGGCCAAGGTTGTTTTTGGTTAAAATTTGTATTAGGTACATTTTGATTGAATTGATTGTATTGATTTGGGTGATTAAATTGATTTTGATTATTAAATTGTTGTCTATTATTATTTTGATAGTTAGAATTGTTGTGTGGAAAATTTGTTGTGTTAGAAAAATTATTTTGATTTTGGAAATTTTGTTGTGCTGGCTTTTGATGGAAATTTTGTGTTTTGTACACCTTGTTTTGTTCGTTAGAACTGCCATAGAGCATTTCAAAATTTTCAAATTCATTTACGCACGCCATTGCATCTTCTAAGGATGTCGGTTTTTTAATGTAAAGATTGTTTCTTAAAGTTCCGCTGCAACCTGCAATAAATGTATTTAACGCGGTCTTATCATAGTGGCTTATCTGACACGTTTTCTCTAGAGGCGCTAGGCACGTATCGTTACTGATTCTTTGAATTACGTTACTTTTTAAGAGTTGTAATCTGCTGCCAAAACTTAAGAGATGTTCGTTTTTAAACGGTCGCGTTCTCGTCAATTCTTGGATTAAGCAATCTAAATCACGTCTATCTGAGAAACATTGTATTAAAGCGGCTTTTAATTTTGACCAATTGTCTAATTCCAATCTGTTTCCTATCATTATTTCGGCTTTTCCCACTAATTTGGACTGTACGCACTCAAAAACATGCTGTTTAAAATCCTCGTCTGGTACGGTAGCATATTTTAGTAAAAGTGATTCGCATTTAAATATAAAAGTATTTAATGTATTACTGTTTCCGTCAAAGGGCTTAATATTTTGTACTTTTGACTTAAAAATATCCCAATTTACAGTTCGCATATTTTCATTTTCTGAAGCACTTGTTCTCGCATTCATTTTATTTATTTCTGTATTAAGTTTTACTGTTAAATTTGATGATCTGTCCGCTAACTCGTCTACACTCATGAACGTGCTAGTTTTTTATTTACGATCTATGAGCGTAAATTTTATTTTATTTTATATTTATTTTTAATTATTTTACTTAATAAAAAATGTAGTAATTAGGTAACTTCTTTCTTTGTTACTTTACCCTAGTAAGAATTCTTTTTTACTTTTGGTTTTTGTTTTTCTTAATCTAATGTCTTCGATAGACTGGTCCTATAACTATCCTCCTACTGATTTCCTTAAACAGAGGTATACCAAAAGGGCAAAAGGAAGGCACTTACTTCTTTGAAGTCTTTCCTGTCCTTTTCCTGACTCCGCTCTCTGCTTTCTTCGTCGGGGTGGTTTTTCTGCGACAACTTTCTTTGCTCGTTCAGGTTTAGACAGCTAATCCGGATCGATTGCACTATCCTGTCCTTCACTTCACAAAGTTTTTGTTCGAATTTCGCGTTTAAGGGTTGAAACCGCACTTCCCGATTTACCACTGCATGTGACACACTCGAAAAGGGAATACACGAAATCCTACCGACTGCGCCAGTTTTGAGGTCTGAATTAACAGAGTTGTTTTTTAAAAAACGATTTTATTGTTACAAACGTTCTCGACAAAGTACAGAGAGTGAAAAGTCTGCTTTGAACCGTGCAGTTCGCTTTTATATGTGACATAATGTAAAATAGGCATTCAGTATTTAATTACAATGAAATAACACTTATTTATACATATAACTGGTATAACAAATTATTACTCTTATTATTATTTATTAAACAAGTCTTTGCTTAAAAACATTAAAAATCATTTTCCTACATCCAAAATAACAAGTATTACTGCAGTGTAACAACAGAATATTAATAAAAAAGAATGCAGAATATATAGACATACTATCCCTAACTAACTAAAGCCAAACAATAATATTCTTTGCTAATATCAACTAATACCAAAATATGGCAACAGCGCCCTTCATAATGTATTTTCTGTGTAAATACTAGCACCTCAATAAAAAAATAATGTGTCCTTATCTATATCTGACTCGGCAAAAAATCAAAGATGCCGGCTTCTTTCATAGCATTGCCACCGACCGCTGTCGGGTTTCTCGGAAAGAAACCTACGTCGCCGGGCGACAACTAAAATTCAGTTAATATTTTATTATAATCGATCCTGACCGAATAAATGAATTTCATAAATGAATGAATTTTATAAATGAATGATTTTTGCTGCCGAATTACTAGAATACAATATTTCAAGGCAGATGACGGATCTATTCGATAATTTTTATTCGAATAGTTTTCAACGAATGTTTTCTTACTAACTATCGAATTATTCGAATGAATTGCAACTATCGAATGTTTCGATAGTATTCATTCGATAGTTCCCACTACTAATTTTAATACTGCAAAGAGATAATATCAAAATGTACTGGTTTAAAAAAAATAAGATTAAAGTTAATTAATCAATTTTTAAGATATAAAATTCAGTAAGTGTTATTATTAATACAAATATTTTGTTTTATTTAGGTTGAGATCATTACTAACAATTCATAAGTATATTTACTACCAAATTAGTTATTAGACTGACCTTTTATACGCAATTTCATCTCAATTTCTGAATCCGACTGTACAGATTCGATGTTGGTTGGCGAGCTAGAACGAGATTCGGCGATGCCGGAAGTTAGCTCAGTGTCGCTAAAGAAATGAAAATCTGCCTCTACCATTTTTATATTGGTAGCATCGCTTTGTGTTGGTACTGGATCTTTTTCAATCTTTTCCACCTTGATTCTGAAATAGAGTAAATATGTTATTTTTTATTTTTGACTGTTTACATTAAATATTAGTAATCATAATCCCCATTCGCTTCCACAATATGGAAGCGAAACCTGGGTGTCGTACCGCCGGCACACGAACGCATTGCAACAGAGACACCTTAGACGACCTTTAATAATCAAATGACACCACCATGTCTCAAAAGTATCGGACCTAAAAAAAGCTAGCTGCGAGAGCGCTGAAGTCATGATTACTAAATCCCGCTTAAGATGGGTTGGTAACTTAATGGGTTGGGAAACTTAAAGGGGATAAGCAGGTAGAATCAGTGGGAGGAAGCAGCGCACAATAGAACGCAATGGAGAAGAATTGTAAACTCAGTTAACAACGACAACCAATTCCATACATTCTACATTCTACAACTTACGATAAATCTTTGAGTTCTGGCTCAGAACAATTACTGTCCAATGAGCTTCTATCAGTGGTAGATCCATTAGTTTTCTCGGCCGTTTCAGATGTTGGGCTGGTTAAAAAATTGTTACTGAGAGACTTCCGCGTTGAATTTTTCTTGCGCATTTTTTTCCGCTTCTTTTTGCTATTTTTGCTGTCACTCGGTGGATCTTCCGGTGTTTTTATAGGAACTTTATCGGCTGCCTTAAAAACATTATAAATTATATAAATTTATACAAAATAAATACTTACAACAGCGTCTTGCTGCTTTTCATTCTCGATTTTACTGACTGGTTCGTCGAGACTGTCCATTTTGAAAATGGTTTCCGAAACGTCATTTTGGCTGCGACTTAGGTCTTCCTCGTCGCTTCGTCTCGAGGCTGTTGTTAAGGATAACGTTACGTCTTCGGCTGAGACTCCATCTATGTTACCCAGTCCAATCTAAAATAAATATAATTACAATCAAAAATTGCAATATTAAATGGTTCTAGAGTAGCAATATAATATTTAAACAAGTTGAAAACTAGAGATGAGCAAAACTGCGATTGTGATTTATAAATCGCTGTTACTGTAACTTTTTTTAAATTGGTACACTGTAAATATAATACTAAGGGCTGGCAAAGGTTAGTCTTGGGTCGAGATTTCCGTATGTAAGAAGAGAATAATGCGTTTATAATGTACTGAACAAAGAGAGAACAGTAAACACGTTGCCAAACGTACGTAATAAACCGGGAAACTGTGCGCATTGCTAAGAGACGTGGTAGGGGATATAGCAGATTTGTCGCAGTCGACTGATCGACCTAGATAAGATCGCAAATCTGTTCTCCGCGCGCATGACGTCACCCGGATAGTAATTTTCTGTTAAGCTCCGCCCACTACATACGTAATATCATATCTAACCGTCCTTGTATCATGTGGTCGACCCAATCAGTACTTCTGTCAGTACTTAAAGTTCTAGGGAAAGGTATACATCATGCGTTCAGCTTCACGATTTAATTACATATCGTGGTTCTTTGTTTATTTATTAACGAGTCGTTGTAATTTTCCCTATAGCTTGAAAAATTTTAAGTGCAAGTTAGAAACACTTGCATTTTTGGTAAAAATAAGTGGAATTGAATTGGTGTTCGACAGTGGTCGCGCTATTAGAACTCTGAAATCAAAAATCGATATCTCAAAGTCTAATAAAAATAATTGATTGTAGTTTTTTTCAAAAACTTTCTTAACATTTCTTCACAGACAGTATGTGACAATACCGGTCTTCAAAAATAAAAAAAAGTTTCAATATCTAAAGTGGTTCTTAAGTTATGGCGTGTTACGTGTTAAAAAGTAGAGTTTTTAAATTATCGCAATTACTGATGTTTTCTCGTTATGAAAAAATGGACACTCTAACGATATCCTTATAGTTCCATTTCAGATGCTCAGAAACATATCTAATGATTTTATCTAGTTATCTTTTCGAAAAAAAAGTCTTTTAAAAATAAGCGGTTTGCGATCGTGATTTTACTTTACTTGATAGGGAAAGGCGTATCGGCAACGCAGCAACAGCACACCGTCGCATTTCTTTCACTCCGACTTAATAGATCCCTATGCGATTTACTTCCACACATGTAAATACCGACCCAAAAGTAACAGTTGCCAGCCCGGTATGTAACAAAATATAGTAAATAAAAAAGGCTGAAAAAGTAGCCAATATTAACAGAGGGTCTTTACCATAGTTTATGATTTCTAGTAAATAAAGAATAAAAATAGATATTTTTTTATAATTTGAATCTAAAACTGGTGCTTATGAATGAATCGCTATGGAATAATGACATTTTAGATTTTTTTTAAGCAACAAATGTACAAAATGTACAGGGTGTGTCAAATTCGACGCTTTTAAATGGCAACACCCTTTTCTATAGGAGATGGACGAAAACTAATATCGGTGTCTGGAGCTCAATTTTCATCAAAAACATGATGGTGAAAACCGCACATCAATATCTGTTACCGTTTTAGAGTTACGGGGTGTTTTTTAAAAATGTGCATTTTTAACAAATCGCTGTAACTTTTTTGCTATGGAAAATTTTGTATTTCTATAAAAACATTTCCAAAGCACCTTCTTACGTAGAATTTAATGGTTTAAGTATAATTTTTTAAAATTAATAATTTAAGAGTTATCAACAGAAAAATTGATCTTTTATTTGGGACCCCCTCTATATTTTTAATTAACTGAAAAGAATTTAAAATTACCTTTCCAAAAATATAGCACACTTGATATTTTGTTACAATCCCCTTCGAAATACAGAATTTTTAAAAGTTCGCAACTTTTAACTAGTAGGCTTTGGACCCCTTATTGATGATATGCCCTTAATGGAACTCGAAAACATATTTTTCCAGCAAGACGACGCACCGCCTCTGAACGCTGAACTTATCAGCAAATTTTTGCAGCCAATTTCAAGAATAATATTTGAATAGCTAACCAAGATCCCAGCCGTTCGCCGTCGAGGCCGCCTGACTTAGTACCCATGGATCTAATCCTATGGATATATTTGCGGAAGAATAAAGATTCCTTATTCTTCCGTATAATCTTGACAAGAATGAGAAATACTTAGCAGTTATGAGAGGGTATCTTTCATCCCCACTGAGTTAATGAATTCCGCGAGAAATGTACAAAAACTGCCTCGTCTGTCCATAACAGAAGACACCTCGTAGAACACCTGTAGCAAAATCTCATGTCTTGGTTTGCTATTTATCTATTGTTATTAGATATAGTTTAAATGTGTTGATGTTGGTTAAATATATTTTAAATAGTTATAAAATTCTGCATCTCTGATAGCAAATATTATTTTCGTTTTAATTGATGCTCACAGCTAGAATTTTTTTGCATTACAGCCGGTGCCGCTGCCGCGCCGTTCATAACCTACTTATTTAAAGCGGACGAATTTTTATATACTCTATATCTCGAAGAGGAATCGAGCAAAATATCAAGTGTGTTATATTTTTGGAAAGGCAATTTTAAATTCTTTTCAATAAATTAAAAATATACAGGGTCTCCCATATAAAGAAATCAAATTTTCTGTTGATAATTCTTAAATTATTAATTTTAAAAAAATTATACTTAAACCATTAAATTCTACATAAAAAGGTGCTTTGGAAATATTTTCATAAAAATACAAAATTTTCCATAGCAAAAAAGTTACAGCGCTTTGTTAAAAATGCATATTTTTGAAAAACACCCCGTAACTCCGAAACGGTAACAGATATCGATATGCGGTTTTCACCATCATGTTTTTGACAAAAAATGAGCTCCAATCACCAATATTAGTTTTTGTCTATCTCCTATAGAAAAGGGTGTTGCCATTTAAAAGCGTCGTATTTGACCCACCCTGTACAGGTGCTAAAAACGATAATATTGGTGGCATATTTGTTTACAAAAAGAGAGAGAAAATGCTTAGACGACAATTATTACCTATATGATAAACAGGGAACTCAGTGTCACCAATGCGAACTGGTCAAATATTCAACCGCTTACGTTAACTTTTCGCGTCAATTCGACCAACGTATAGATATGGTTGATTAAATGGCCAAAACGCGCATAGAAATAACAATAGCAAATAAACTGAGCGATAATACACTTCCAAGCGACTGATTAGTTGGTTAAATTAAAGTGGTCAATTTAGCGACCATCAAGTTAAATAAAATAATATTTTGTTCGTTTAGTATGTATTTTAAAAAGACCCAAATTACGTTTCAGTTCAACAACCTCGAATTCAAGCGCAAATCGTACACTACAATATACTTAAAACTGTGCTAAGCGCAATGTTTATTTGAATTCTATATTTACCTGCCGTTTGAGGAAATCCCGTTCCAGGTGTGCTCTGTTCGCCATCTGATTGTCGGCAGTGTGACGTCTTTTCTCGTACGAATTTGGCTGGTTGTTGAGATCAATATCGTCCAAATGAAAACTCCTTCTGCGACCCTATATTTAAATAGCATAAATTAGTAAAAAAAAACAATATTAGTGGTTCTGTTCTAAATATTACCTTTTTCATCATTCTTCTTTGAATAAAAAGATTAAGGAAGGAGTATAATGCTATCAATGTATTAATGTATGATCGACGGATCCGCACCCTAGGGTGGGGATCCTTGACAATTCTGTTTGACGATTCACTTGACACCTTTAAATATTTTATTCTGTAAACTTTGCCTTTGGTCAGTCTCTATTTATGTTACTTATTATTTATTCTACTACTGATAGTTGTTTAAAGGTAAATCTAATTAAAATACTCGGTTATGTAGCGTGCGGTAGATCTCGGTCAAAAATCGAGGAAAATAATGGCCATAACTTTTCCCTAGTAAGTGGCTATACAGGGTGGCCCATCAAAAACGTTCCGCAAGGCATAACGGCCAGGGTATTTTTTTTTTCAAAAAATCCAAAAACACGTCAATTTTGTTTGTGAGGGGGACAACTTTTGCCCCAAAAATGATTGCAAAATCTTCAACCCTCTAAGCGGGGCTGTCATCCCCCAAGTTTTTTCAAATAGGAAGGGGGGTCAAGTGGCGCAGCAAAGAAAGTGCTTTCTTTTCTCTATATTTCCCCGCTTCGTTTTTGAAAATCGGTCGAGTCATTGAGAAAATATGAAGGATTGAAATTTGAAAAGTTTATTTAAACATTTATCAGAGTAAATGATAAGGATAAATTTCTTCGACCAATTTGCTGTTTTTTCTTATTATTTCTAGATGTTTACGCATTTTTTCACTTGCCACAAGGTTGAACGATCGGGTGCGATAGTTGCTAAATAGCTGTTCTGTGACTTCTGCGTTGAAGTTCTTCTCAAAATCGTTAGACTGACCCACATAGAATTTCCAAACATACCAGCCCACACGTTCAATTTCTGAGGGTTTTGTGTGTGCACCTCGTGGAAAACCCTGGGGTTGTCCTCAGCCCAGTACCGACCGTTGTGCCGATTAACTACACCGTTCAAAAAGAAAGTACTCTCATCCGAAAAACACACATCAAATAGGAAATTATTATCATTCGCCACTCGTTCACTCATAGTTTCACAAAATTGCAAGCGACGATCAAAATCGTCTTCGTTGAGTTCTTGTACCAACTGAATTTTGTACGGGTGGAACTTGTGTTTTTTTAATATCCTTCGGATACTTGTACGATTCCCGCCGGTCTCATTGGCTAATTTTCTTGTACTCAGCGTACTATCCATGGCAACTTGGCCCAATACGAATACCTCCATAGCTTCATTTACTACAGGATTTTCCTTCTGCCTCTTTTTATTCATAACGGAACCAGTTTCGCGAAATTTTGCTACTAACTAGCGAACAATTTTGCCATAAAAGTGTTTGTCAGGATGGCATTCATTGAATATCTGCGCAACCCGATACATTCATTATTTTTAAAATAAAGTTCGATTATTTCCACTTTTTATGCAAGTGAGTACACTATAATTGTGAAAAAGTTTAACGATATTGAGAGGAACTTCAACGCACAAGTCACAGAACAGCTAGCTAGCAACTATACCAGACTATACTCTGTTTTTTTTCTCAGGTAAGATTTCGACAGACGATGACAGAAGAAAAGCAGATGACGTCCCATACCAATCTATTTATTTTACTAAAAAAAGTTTCTAATAATTTTTAAGTTATCTATGGATGGGGTTTAAATATAGATCCGTCATGCGTCGTGTCTTGTTGTTTTTAACCAGTTTTATTGGTTTATTTAAAAAATTACAGATCGTATTTCTATTTTATTGGTTTGACGGAACGATGAACGACAAACGGACGCCGATGCGTATGAACTCGCCTTTAGATTTTTGTCATTTTTGACGCTTGTCAAAGTCTTGCCAAATTATAGGTTATAATTTTGTGTCAACTTTTGTTAAATACCCTGCGTTTTGGAATATGATGCATTTTGATTCGTATTATTACGTGTGTTTTGTGTCTTTTGAAGTCAAGTGGAGGAAAAATCGAGTGAAAATTAACTGTAGACCCAGAGCACAGTTTATGGTTAATACTCGCTGCCAGGGCAGAAAGTCTTATACACCAATGAAGTTGCTATCGATAAAGTTTGTATACCATTTCGTCGTAGATAAGTGCATCTTGTATATGGTAGAAGGATCAAACTAAACACATACTAAAAACTGGAGTAGCTGTAAAATATCGACATCACACGATAGGTAAATAATGGATTTTAGTACTGCAGAAAAATAATGTCAAAAGGTACTGGTTTAAAAAAATTAAGATTAAAAGTTAATTAATCAAAGGTATAAAATTTGGTAGGTGTTATTATTAATAATATAGTTTGTTTTATTTATCTATGTTGTTTTATTTATTCCTGTGGAATATTACAAATTTGTATTTGTACATAAGTTATATTGATAAATATAATCATAAATGCGGGTAGTTTCATAAAGCTTTAAAGGAAATAATAGTTCTTTTTTATATTCTTTTGGTATGTAGTGTCTTGTTCTTGTTTGTTTTGTATTAACACATACCGTTTTTATTAAATAAAATAACTCGATTACATTTTTTCAGTTTTATACAGTTTTTTTCACAATATTTTGAAGTAATCACTTGTCATCTTGTCAATCAAATTTTAAATATATCCTGCTATGCGTTCCAGTTATACCAACTTATTTCTTTGTAAAATAAAATAAACTACTTTGAAATTAAAATGACAGACACATCTATCACTATCAAGGATCTTCTCGTTGGACAGACTATACCACACCTGATTGTTTAACCTTGTGGCAAGTGAAAAAATGCGCAAACATCTAGAAATAATAAGAAAAAACAGCAAATTGGTCGACGGAATTTATTCTTATTATTTACTCTGATAAATGTTTGGTTTGGTTAGGTTAGGTTATCAAATTTCTATCCTACATATTTTCTCAATGACTCGACCGATTTTCAAAAACGAAACGGAAAAGTATAGAGAATAGAAAGCCCTTTTCATTGCGGTACCACTTGACCCCCCTTCCCATTTGAAAAAAATTGGGGGATGACACCCCCACTTAGAAGGTTGAAGATTTTCAATCATTTTTGGGGCAAAAGTTGTCCCCCTCACAAACAAAATTGACGTGTTTTTCAATTTTCTGAAAAAAAATTACCCTGGCCGTTATGCCTTGCGGAACGTTTTCGATGGGCCACCCTGTATAATATGCATACGTGTAGTAAACCGATCATTTATGAAATTAACTTTAAATTAACTAATTATATATTTTTTCTTGCATTTTTGCATTTATTTACTACTTCAAAACATTAGATGTCAATAAATTTAGATACCTAGGTACATAGATAAATGAAACAAGTTTAGATTGGAAAGTGCCCATAAGGACAATGTAAACACTATTTGGCGCTTATCTTGCAACGGTCGCGACCCAAAACTTTTAAAAATTTCGGAGCGGTTCGGCTTTTTCCGGAATTATATCGCCAAATATTCTTTATTCAAATTTATTATTATTTTCGTTTAATTTTATAAATAAAATACAATGTGTTGCATACAGGAAACTTTATTTTATATAAGGACGCATGTATGAAATACCTATGAAACATTGGAAACCGACGTTATGCCACGATCCACGATGGTTTTTGCAGGTCACAGTTCACAGCACAGCTTTTTAAGTCTTTAATGCTGCTTTTTCACAATTATCACCGGTTGGAGTAAAACTTGAATTAAACTCACAAGATAGCAATATTACTTTGAAAATGGACGCTATAAACACTTTTCGGAATTTCTTTAATGAGAGCGGTTTAGATTTTGAAAGATTATTATGATTTTTGAAGATTCTGACTTTGACAAGAGAAAATTATTTCTGTTTTTGTTTGCCGTTGTTCTTAGCGACCGCTATAGCAGCGCCAGACCGCGTATAACGGTCGCGACCCAAAATAATTTCGCGACCTAAAATTTTTACGGGCTTTCCAATCTAAACTTGTTGCATTTATCTATGCCTAGGTACGTCCATTTGACTTACTCTAACTTTTCTATTTTTATTATAACTATAGTATATTTTAATGACTACTTACAATTATTGACAACGTAAAATAAAACCAAAAATTATTGACCTATGTTTAAGTCTACCCTGCATTGTATTTTTACGCTTTTTAAATAAAATTAGAATGGCACTGATATATCGGAATTTAAGTCGGCCATATTAGGTCCCCATCGCACTCGAAGTTTTTTGATATGCTTCTTCATTAAATATTTTTATTCAAACTGGCGAACTGATTATGGTATTTTTTTTTTGAAAATTTCGATTTTTTCATATAGGCATCTACTTTATCTGTCTAATTTATTCACAATAATATTACATTTTCGATCATTTTTCCTGACTTACTAGTCAGACTTTACGTTATATCTACATAATTGGTTACTAATAACTACCTGTGTCTTGAATATATTTTCAATTTCGGATACTGGAATGGGAGACGTGGCCAAATGTTCCGGAATGTCGTTTTCATCATCGTCCTCTAATTCTTCTACGAAAAATGCTTCCCCACTCTCTCCCAGCTTCATGTGAATATCTAGAGCTTCTCCATTAATTTCTATATCAACCTGAAACAAAACAAACGTACAGTCCAAATAAATATTATACAGGGTGTTAAATATACAGGGTGTTAAATATACAGGGTTATAAAGCAGGTGCCATCTCTCGTGGGGAGATTCCTCACGTAAAATAAGAGTTATTTTTCATATCAACATAGGCCCGATTGTGCTTTGTTTCGTAGCTACAGGGTGTTAAAGTCTTAATATTCTTTGGATTTATTTCATGTTCTTCCAAGTACTTTTAGTGATTCGAATAAAATTTTGATGGTAAAAGTTACTATAAGTATTACAAATTTTAACGCTAAAAAAGTTTCAATAAACTCATCAGGGACGTGCATATGAGTTATCACTGGAATATTAAAAAAAAACATGTGCGCCACTGACTTGTTTTCTTTTGATATCAAAATTGTGTAGGCCGTTTAATGCCAATTAAAAGTTATCTCTTGATATTTTGTTGAATTCGGCCTCCTTGATGAGACAAACGCAATTTTATTAATCACAATTAATAAAATTAAAATAAAAATAAAATTATATATTTTTTTTTAAAAATAAGTTATATATTTTCAAATCAAATCAAATCAAATCTTTTTATTAGGCCCCAATATAAAAAATATACAAAATACAAACAATACTTTGGCTGACTAATAGCCTAATAGCCTAATAAGGAGTGCACCGCGATTATAAAACCGATTCACTGATTGCCATAGGCCCCAATATTTTGCCTAATTTATTATTAAATATTATTACTATTAGTTATTATTACTATTAATTCAACCTACAGCAATTTCAAATAAAAAATAATGGTATTTAAGATTATTACAAAAAACCTAATTTTAAAAAGTTTTAACATCCTGTAACTCTAAAACTATGCATTTCCATATCCATGTTTATAGGATTTATTTTTCATATTTTTTTGATGACAAATCAATGAGTACTTATTTAAAGCTTTCGCAAGTTAATGATATTACAATTTTTTAAAGGTTGCTTTGTTGACTTGGATCAAGGCAAATTAATAAAATTGCGTTTATCTCATCAAGGAGGCCGAAATCAACAAAATATCAAGAGTCAACTTTTAATCGGCATTAAACTGTTTACATTATTTCGCTAACACGGGAAAAAAGTCAGTGGCGTACATGCTTTTTTAGAAAAATATTTCATGATAACCCATGTGCACGTCCCTGGTGAATATGTCGACACATTTTAACTTTAAAATATGTCGTATTTATACTATTTATAGTAACTTTTACCCTCAAAATTTCAATCGAAACGCTAAACATATTTGAAAGAAAATTATTATGATCAAAAAATATTAAAACTTTAACACCCTGTAGCTATGAAACAAAGCAGAATCGGACCTATGTTGATATGAAAAATAAATCTTATTTTTACGTGAGGAATCTCTCCCCACGAGAGATAGCACGTTTTTTTTTGAAACACCATGTAGATTCTATTTAAAATGTTTGATCTTTATTGAACAACTTCCTTGTTTTCCTTATTTTAGGTAAAAAAACTAAATAAAATTATTGAAACAGTACGCACTATTAAATTTTAAACCGCGTAGATTGTTACATATTATTTACTATGCAAATTAGTAATTTTACTTTCAAAACTATGCTTACTTATTATCCATAAAAACATTTTACGATAAGAAATATAATTACTTTAAAAAACAATTATTTTAAATGACTCAGTTTTTTTTCAGACAACAAAATACAAAACGTACTATTTACGTTCAGTATAATAAATTTGTAACAAAGTACTTATAATTTGTATTTATTACATTACCTCGCTGTAAAAGAGACAGTACTATTTTCCTAGTATCGTCAGTATATAATAATTATGAAGCCATATTAATTTTTAGTAAGCAATAAAATACCTAATTGAATTACATTATAGCTCCTTATGTAAACATCGTAATCATTAATTTATAAACAAATGTGTGCGTCCGATTAATGTTTTAAGGTCAATAGTAACGTCCTCTGTAATAGATCAAATAATATGAATATTCAATGCATAAAATTTGTTTTTAATAATAAAGGTACATTCAGGCTGAGGCGTTTGCGTCGCGTCCGCCCCGTTGAACTCGACCCCCGATGCTCAGCGGACGCTAGCGCAACGCCAAACGCGACGCTATTTGCCTGAACGGTCTAATTTAAGTAAAGTGAATTGATTCCTTTTCGACACGCGGACGCGACGCAAACGCGACGCGACGCTCGACGCTCTCAGCCCTGAATGTATCTTAACAATAATAATAGCGTTTCTTAACAGTCTATTTCACTAGTCCGAAAAAGTATGCGTTCGGCATTTAACGTTTTATGTAAAACTGGCTAGGTATTTTTACACAAATGAAGAAGGAAATTGAAGATAAAGGATTATACATATATATATCCGTATTGTAGTAGAGGTGGGAATTCTAGTTCCTTGGGAGGAACTAGTTCCTTAGTTTTAGTTCCTCCAGAGGAATAGTTCCTTGAACTAGGTCTTTAGTTCACAATAGTTCCCGACTAACATTGACATCCCCCTTGCTTGCTAATGCGTTTCGTTGTCAGTCAGAACTATTTACAGTATGATCTGTATAATTTTTATAATGTACGGAGATATAACGAGACGTGTAATTGTGTATGTTAAAAACATATAGGTAAGTTTTATAGCAGATAAAAAAAATTAAAAAAAACTCAAATCAGAATTTAAAAAACTATATCACAAATCAATTGGAGCAAATATTACAAAAATTTTACGAAAAATTGCATTTTTCCTCACTTCATGCTTTTTGGTTTTGTCTAAAAATTCAGAATATCTACTTCATTTTATAAGATATTTCTTAATTTTAGGGACCTAAAGTGAAACATTCCCATAAAATATTTAAAAAACAAACTAAAAATCAAAAACAGTATCCACGACAATTTTCTGTGGTAATAACGCCGCGCCGGCTACGGCAATAGACAAGGCCGAATCCTTCGTCGTCGCCTTGTATTAATTCGCGGATATGCCGACTGAATAGATTCCCGTGAACTAGTCTTTTCATAGTTTCTCTATGTCCGGATCCGATAACATACGGGTCGCACTCCCCACGCCTGCCTAGCATCAATGGCGCTGGCTGATCCATACGTAAACTAGTCTTTTATTTAGTTCCTCTAGTTCCTTTAGGTCCGGATCCGAGATCCGATAACAAACGGCATAAGGCTGGCACTCCCCACTCCTGCCTAGCATCGATCGTGCTGGCCCGATCCGTTCGTACGTAAACTAGTCTTTTATTTAGTTTAGTTCCTCTAGGTCCGGATCCGATAACGTACGTTTGGCACTCCCCACTCCTGCCTACCATCGGGCTACGCGCGCTAGCCGATCCGTCGCCGTCGCATATTATTCTATATCGGACACAGTCTCGATCCCGGAATAGGTCCTGAGGAACTAGTCCTTTGAGAAACCAGGAACTAGTTCCTTTCATTCCGGGGTCGGAATAGTTCATTGGAACTAGTTCGTTCACGAACTACACACCTCTATATTGTAGCACATTTTTAGACAACTTCTATATTTTTAAGATTTTGATGGTCAAACATCAACAAAATATTCCTTATGTTTGGACTAAATTTTCTCGAAAATAAAGCCATAATTTAAAATTCCGTTACAATACGGAAACAGATTGCAGTTTTGTGATTACAGTGATATATAATTTATATGGTTTTGTAACAAATTGCTCGCTGTTTTATGGCAAATGCTGAAGCTCTGCAAACCTTAATCAAGCCTTAATCGAAGCAGGTGTGTTTGGAATTTTGGGTGTGGCTTAACACGACAGGATCGGGCTAAGTCTTAGGCAGATTTATGAAATATAATATATATTTCCTTCAGCCATACACTCGTCTTGCCCCACTCCTGAAAGCGACCCGAAAGTACAGCGTAATACACCTAATATTTTGTGATACTAAACGGTATTTATGTAAAACGGCACAACAGGAACTACAGTCTGACAAACGGATCTGAAACAACGGGGCAACGGTAAGGGGATCGCAATTTTGTGAAATCACCGATTTCATTCATAAAATATCCAGGAGCGTGCGGTGTTCCATAAAAATATATCAGGAATTTTGATAATATTTTCCAGTAGAGTTTATAATATTATTTTACTTTAAATGTACCTACATTTTGTTTAGTCATTTGCCAAATATAGTAATATTTGTTAAAACGCGTGTAATAATTACAATAAGCAGAAATCAAGTTAAAGGCATAAAACACAATATAATACACCGCCACTGGATTTTTCAGTAGTAGTGGCTGTTTCTACTATTCCTAGAGAGGGGCATAAAGTTGGGGGTAATGGCGGCAAGACGTGCGACAATCTCGACCAATCAGATTTGTTGAATCCGGGATGCCATGATGAATTTTGTCAGCGTTGCCAGCTTGCCCTAAGCGGACGTTATTTTTAGCAGAAATATTTTACCTTTTATAATAGGCAGAATGAAGGAGATCAGTTAATTAGATAAATATACATTAATAAAATAAGAACAACGTCAAGATATTAGCATATATATAATTATGTATGCTGAAATGAACTAAAATATATTCAATTTATAGGTAATGTTGAGCAAGTTTGCTTTTCTATTATTAAACGTGACAACGTCGACTTTTTTTGCTCGAATTCCTCTTGCTGTTTTAGATCCCTTTGTCAGATAATACCAGCACAGACAGTCCGCTCCATGTGAAACAGCACTAATAGCGTTGATTGAAAGAATTTTGAAGATACGCAACCTAATTGGCGAATTCGTGACAAGGCTGATTTGAGTTGCCCTTACGTCTCGAGTGCTGTACGGTGGAGACACCAATCCTTTTGCGGTCAACGCATAAAACATTTACTTTCTCCAGCGAAGGCATATCGAAGACTGTGTGGAACTGTGTGGACAGTGTTACCATATTCAAATATATAATATCTCTATCTGTAATACGTTTCACAAAAATATCTTTGAATGAAAAATCTGTGTTTATGTATTGAACATTTATTCGTGTTAATCATAGAA